ATGAAATAGAAAATGGAAGTTTATAAACGCTTTTAAAATGTATATTAACTCTGACATGAATATTGACCTTAGCTCAATAGTTATCTTAGTTTGTAACTGCATTCCTGCTGTGATATATATATATATATATATATTTTTTTTTAATTACATAACAACCAGCTCTACCATCAAACATACTCCACCTAACACTTCTGTTTATCTGCCAGGGCTGCAAAGTATGGGGACACGGCAGAGGAGTGTGGCGAGGCCTTCTTCCTGTGTGGGAAGTCTCTCCTGGAGCTTGCCAGGTATGACCATTGCATGGCCTTCCTTCTAAAACTCCATACTATATTAAGTCATGTTGATGAACATTGATATACATTTGATTATTGTTGCATCACTGTGTTAAATGTTATGTACTTTTTTTTTTTTTTTGTATGGCGGAACCTTTAGACTTAAGTGTAACCCCAGCATTGACAGTTCAAAGGCCAATTGCTCTGGCCAACTGTTGAATAAGGTTCTAAGTGACATTTCTGGACTTGACACTCTTTCTTTTTTTGATTTGGTTAGGATGGAAAACAGTGTGCTTGGTAATGCCCTAGAGGGAGTCCCAGCAGAGTCTGAGGAGGAGGATCAGCCGAACGGCTCAAATATCGAGAGTGCCAACAATCTTGATGGTCAGTATTTATTAAAAAGGGTTGCCAGGTAAAGGGGGCTCCATCTGAAATCACCTGAAGTTTAGTCTTGTATTGGTTTGTTTTAATAATGACATGTTTCTTTACGTTTGGTAGTTAAGACTGAGCTGACATGCAAATACAGTAAAACAAATAAAATACAATGTTAACTGCCAGTAAAAAGACAAACGACATTTAAAAAAAGTAGCGTTGGGGTAACAATCTCTCCTTTTCCCCTCTTGAGTTGAAAGCTTTCTGACAAGTGTTTGTCAAAATTGACTGAGCTTGATGGTGAATATCAAATGTAAACTTATTCTTCACATGACATTCGTGTGCAGAAGAAACAAGAGACGACCTACGAAAGCAGGTTTATGATGCAATGGCGGAAAAGGCTGAGCCAGGTGACATCGAATTGGAGTCCGAGGAAGGAAAGGGCACCCCTGAGGTGAAAAAAGAAAACGGTGTGGTGAATGGATCAAGTTCCCCTGTGAGTGAGAAGGAAAAGAGTTCAGTTCAAAAAGTGAACGGAGTGGAGAAGAGCCCCGGCGCTCCTGTCAATGGTGTGGCAGAAAGATCCACTGCAGCTAATGGTGTCAAGGATTCAGGAGAGCAGAACGACAAGAAGACCAATGGAAAGCCAGAGGAAGAAGATAACGGTGAATCCAAGCCAGAGGATGAACAGGACGAGGAGGAATCAGAGGGCAGTTGATGTTCTGTTACAGAGCACTTTTGGTGTGGCAGGGTGGAGCACGATCTTGGTGTTTCATTATATTTAAAACGGGTCACATTAAGGTGTTACAAAAGGTGACGGGGAAACTCACTAGAGCAGTTCTAATGCACTCTTTGGAAAACACTTAAGTATTTGCCTTGAGCTTCAGTCACAACTTGGGGAAATGGCTTATAGCCCTTTGTAATTATCCTCTTGCTCAACAGATGATGATGACGACGATGATGATGATGATGGAGAGCAAAATGGACAGGTAAGTTCCCATTCTTTGTTTTCTCTTTTGAAATGATTTGGAATATTTTGCTTTGACATATGCCCTCCTCTTTTCAGGAAGAGGAAGAAGTTGGCAATTTGCAGTTGGCATGGGAAATGCTGGAAGTAGCTAAAGTCATCTACAAAAAGTAAGGGCAACATTGCTGGATGAAGCGAATGAGTAAAAACAATGGCACAACATTTGAAACGTGTGGCTAGAAAGATTCATACTGTACATGAGAGTTCAAGCAGTTCACTTCATACAAAGTCAGACTTTTAGGATGTTATATAATGTGGCAAAGTGGTCTTGCCGTTGATTCAGTTTCTTCACCACCACAGAAAGGAAGGCAAAGATGACCAGCTGATGGCAGCCCAGACATATCTGAAACTCGGAGAAGTCAGTGCTGAATCGGGTATGTTTCATGTAGCATTTCCAGGATGGACTTGTCACTTTTACTTGTTGGCCTTCCTTTTCCCTCCCCTCAAAGAACATCTTAAATAATACTGCCGTGGCTTGTTGAATTTTGGCTTTGCCCTTCACCAAACTTTTGTTTTATCTATAATTATTGTTACCAAGTTTGGGTTCAATAGTGTTTCACCACTATATACAGGTTAAAAACAATTGCATTCACTTAAGAAACTCAACATACCAGTAACATGAACATATAGCAAATGTCGTTTTCCATTAGAGTGGCAACTAGTACCACTGCAGAGCCAGCTAAATGTGACCCTATTGTCACATGTGCTCCCTTCCCCAGGAAACTATCCCCAGGCGCTAGATGACTTCCAGGAGTGTCTTGCCCTGCAGCTGAAGCACCTGCCCCCCCACAGCCGCCTGCTGGCTGAGACCCACTACCACGTCGCCACCACACTGTGCTACATGGACCAGTACAGCCAGGCCATCCAGCACTACAACAGCTCAGTTGACGTCATCGAGACCCGTCTGGGTAAGATGTCTTTCTCTGCAGACGTGCTTTTTTTCAGAGCCGTGTGTCCTTTATCATTGTAATTTTTAGTTGAGTGAAAATAAGCTTACTGATAGTCTATTCACAAAAATACAGCACTGTTTCTAAAAGTTGATGGCAGCTGTGAGTCTGCAGTATTCCTGTTATGTTTTATTGTACTCATCGTACATCGTCTGTGTATAGCCATGTTGCAGGAGGCGATCGACGCAGCAGGTGGTGCGGCTGAAGAAAAGAATGAGATGGACGAGCTGAAGCAGCTTCTGCCCGACATCAAGGAAAAGGTGGAGGATGCCAAGGAGAGCCAGAGAACCGGCAGCGCTGCCTCCCAGGCCATCCAGCAGACACTAGTGAGTACATGACAATGGTCTGAATACCAGTTAAGTAGTCTTAAACGTTAGAGTGCATTTTTATACATCTTGGCTTGCAAGCCTTAAAGCTACCAGTGTGTAAATCCTCCGAGCCTTTCAGTGCTTAACGACTGACTTCTTTCAGGGCGGAGCCTCAACCTCATCATCAGCATTCTCATGTGAAAATGGTGGCCCTTCATCATCTTCAGCTTCAGCTTTTGCAACAGTCAACAAGGTAAGGACATAGTACTTGGACATTTAAAAACTTTTAACCGCTTTTGCTTACTGACTGAAATAAAACTGATCCTACATTTCTTTTTAAAACAAACCAAACTCTTCCTTTTCAGATCCCAGTTAAATCGTCTGGCAGCGCCTCGTCTTCCAAGGCAGTCTCAAACATCTCCCATCTAGTCAGGAAAAAGGTAAGCTCCGCTCAAGTATTCACAAATGTATTACTTTTATTCCATCTTGATTGCTGCAACTTTCATACCTCTGACATGTCAAAGGCCAGTCATGATTTTTCAGTCCATTCCGCCTTCTGAAACAAAACTATTTGATCATTTAAAAATCAAAACCTGACATCTGACTGGCAGAACAATAACCTGTATGTTAAAACTGGCCATGTACTGCCCTCAATTTTGAAAAGTCAACGTGCTTGCCTGCTTTGGTTGTCGGGATGTCATGGCTCTCTGCTCATGTCAATCTTTAGCCTGTGTGTTCTGGTTTTTGTGTGAACGGTGACTTCTGTTGGTTCATGTGGTTGCGGTACGGCTTAATTCTGTAAACAAAGCTTTTGATTTTAGTGTGTGTGTGCATGACACGGTGTTTGACCTTGACATATCCATATTTGGTTTCCCTCTTCACAGTAGCTTCCAGTCTTCTCTTCCCCTCCTTCTCACCGGTTTTTTGTTTCATCACAGAGGAAACCAGAGGAGGAGAGCCCAGTAAAGGACACTGATGCTAAACAAGCGAAACAGGAAGCCACAGTTAATGGCAGCGGTGACTCTAGTGCCAGCAACGGCAAAGGAGTCCAGGAGGGCAAATCACAGGAGGCGAGTGATAGGCTCATGTCTTAATATGAGTTTCAAAGACGGCACTCCAACTTGACGTTTGTGCTGTGACGCTGCTACCCTGCTTTGATGAGAGATGGCTCCACGAACAGAAAATAACTACTTTCATATAGTTTCTGGTGGAGTTCCAGTCCCCCTCTTACTATGAAGTAATCTGAAAAAGCTGGCATGTTGCTGTCTGCTTCTATGGAAGGCTTATTAAAACTACATAAAAGCCCACAAGGAAGTTGGGAGGATTCCTTGGCAATTTGATGACTTGACTCATATGGGTGGTCATACATGATGAAACCATTGCATTGGGGAAAATGTTTGTCTTTGACCCTTGCTGGTTGTCTGTCTTTCTGCAAAATAAGTTAAGATGGGCTGTTTCCCCCCCAAAGTTACTTTTTAAGTAACTTGTTTTTTTACTGTAATGGAAGCCAAATACAATAGTGTTCTTCCACAGGGCATTTGTAAGTGGACATGCAGCATTGGCTGTTACTGTGGTTGTCTTTAGCTGTTGGACAAGCTTCAAACCTTCCTATTTTCATTACTCTTAAGTTCACACATCTGTGGAACTGTCTTTTTACTGAAACAAATGGAAAGTCTGTCTGAAGTCTTTTTTACAAGCTTGGCAAAACTGCAGACACACCAGCAGTCTGCAACTTTTCTTGAGATGAGCAGGCGGCTCGCTCAGCCTTGCCTTTGTGATAATAACTTAATGTGTTCTTGTGTCCTGTAGCCTGCCAGCTCGTCGGCCGCTGTGGGGTCTTCAGCGTGACATTCTCGTCTCTTTCCTGATCTCTGAAACCAGCACAGCATGCCTGTCCAGCCCCTCAAACCTTCAACACTTTTGTTTCTGTAAATAAGATCCATTTTCATAGATTTGTCTGTCCAGTTTTGTATACTTGTAGTAAAAATGAATAAAAAATTTGCATATGTAATTTTGTTATTGGCTTTTTATTTTTAGCTTTACTGGAACTTTTTTTTTTTATCATGCTTCAATCGTTTGCTGCTGCACCTTTAATCTTGCTCAACTTGATTTGAATTCCAACAAAAGGAAAGTAAATGTCTTTGTCTTTAGCAGATGAAGATCAGAGCCCTCGTATAAACCTTCACAAATGATCATGTGTTGTGTCCTGATGTAGAGATGTTTTACTGTATTTTAGTGTTCAACCCTGACTGGTCTCTTTTGGTGGAGGGTCTTGGTGATTGGTGCAGGACTTAAGGGGGCAGATACTCCACTCCTGTGGGCTGTGTAACTGAAACTGGCAGTGTTGCTTCTATGTGGACAAACAGGATGTGAAGAAGCTGGTGACAAGACGCAAGGTAAACAAACTGCATGACATTTAAGAATTGTTTTTGTTCTGTTGAGCCCCCAGTGTTTCAATAATAAATACTTCAGTGCAATGATGGTCATTAGTTTCTCTAAAGGTTTGTTCCCTTATAGTGTTCATATCCTACCACAACTAAATATTTAGTGATGGTGTTTGGCCGAGTCTAACATCTCCGTCTTGTAACCAGATGTACACACAGCTCCAGGTTCCCCCCTCAATTTTACAGAAACACGCATACAATCTGGTTTGTCATATACTTCCTTGCTTTACTCTACCGAACACTGCATAAGCCAGCAAACCCCACTTGGATTTCTTCCTAGATAAAACAAGTCATAAAAGCTAATCTGCTGTTTACTGGTGTTGAACTGAGGACCTGAGTTGATCTGGGCAGAGTGCGCACTGACACCCTCCAGTGGCCACTGTGCAGCTGTTGGTTTACAGAAAATCATAAAATGTTAAAACATCAATTTTGATAATGGGACAATGAGACCTGTGGTTTAACATTGCAATCATAGCAGATTGGGATGTCAGGGTTGCTTGATAATCTCAGATAGTTTCATGATCAACTCTGCTAGTTAGTGCAATCATTGTAATAACCTTTGCAGGTGCAGTTTTATTTTAAAAAGTAAAAGTTCTATAAAGTTGCTTTTGAGAACCACAGCATTAATTCACCTCCAGGGGTGAGCTACCATCAGGCGCAGCACCCTTTGAGAAACATCTTCCCCAAGCCTTAGGTTGTGGAAAACCACAAAAACAGCTCTTAAAACCAAGAGGACTCGACTTAATTTCAAGAACGCTAAATTGGCTGAAACTTTGCCGGATCAGAAGATTATTCAATATGATGGAGACACCATTTTTTTTAACCAAAATATGATTATGGGGTATTTGGGAGGATCGGAATATACTGTACAAGTAACGGCATGGGTGTCCAACATGCATGTTCCTAGTGGAGAGGAGAAGGATCTGGCTGAAGCTGAGGAACATACAGAGGTACATCATCTGTATCACCGTCACACAAACACTGTCAAATTACCTGGAGATATTAACCAGAATGTATGAGTTGCCCTTATCTGCTGTGTTCTTTTGGAAAGTAATTTTTGAACTACAACTGTAACAGATGTACTAGTGAAAGAGGTGCATGAATGTGAGTCTTCAGCTGGAGTGGGAGTAGCTGTGGGGGAGGCGGAGGAGGGTCTCTCATGGGCCTGGGCTCCATCTCTCTGCCGTAAATCTGCAGGAAGCTCTCCCTCTGAATCAGCTCAAGGTCAGTCCTCTGCTGATGAACACACAAAAACAAGAAGACAACCACCCAAACTTCATTTTGGGTACAGTGTCAGAATCACAACATATAAGCAACATATTTAACAACAAACAATAACCACATTATTCATAGACTTTCATTCCAAGAACAGCATATATCACAATGTAAACGTTTTATTAGGAGGCTTCGTAGAAACTACACTATTTTTAACATTTAATATCCTAAATGACTTCAATGTTGGGGGATGGTGATTTCATTACTTCTTTTTATGTTAACACTTCAAGGAATTTCTACTGCACTTGTTCATTTTGACAAATCACATCAGCTTTAACAGTCAGCTTTTCACAGTCGGATAATAAAAGAGGTTTTATTTGTGAGAAATTTCCAACCGTCATAGCTCTGGTGTTGCTCTCTGACCAGCTGCCTCCTGAGGATCCCCTCCTGCAGATTCTGGGTCAGCTCAGACCCCGCTGAAAAGGCTTCACCCCAGGACGAGAGAACAATGATGTGGCCAAAAAGGTATTTCACCCTCAGTTTGATACCATAAGTCTGTAGTGTATAGCAATTTCGAAAACAACTTCCAATGTGGGGTGTGTTTTCCTTTCAGCAAGGTAACACTGATGATGTGAAAATACATTTTAGACCAGAATCTAATAAAAATACACTTTTTTTAGTTGAAGTTGAGTAATCTCTATCCTCTGAGCACAGCTGTATTGACAGAGTTACGGTGACAGGCACTACATATCTTATGTTTTTACAATATCTCATCAGTCTTTCAGTTCTTTTTGTCCTCACTGGCTTTCATTAATTGGGCTTTTTGGCCTTCTGTCTGCAGGTCAATCACAATTTGTGCCACAATATCAGGGACCAGATTTACGCAACCTCAGTAGAACTAATTCATATTTACATAAATAAACTGCTTTTGCGAGTTGGACCAGCAAATGTGGGGGATGTACTTACGCACTTTATCGGCTCATAGCTGTCACTTTTTTTTTCTTGCATTGATCTGGCTTTTTAGCGGGTACAGTGATCTCTTGCACAAAAATATAACAAAAAACACGGTTAACCATCTAAATTAAATCCTATTGCGACATCTATGGAAAGTTTTCCAGCCTAATCAACCTTAAAATAGGAAATGTTGTCATGAGGGATACCCAGGCATAATGGAAAACAGGGTTGATGAGTCATCCAGCAGCTAGGAAAAAAAACTTGTTCAAATGAATATTCATCTTAGAGCAACACAAAAGCAGTCCTTTTTTTAATGCCACATCCAAATAATAATATCCATCATTATTTTCTTAATCTTCTCCTGTTCTCACTATCTCAGTAACCCAATTCATGGTATATACGTTTTTTTTTAAATAATCCGATTGAATACAATACAATTCCCTCTTATACCCTATTTGAAGTTGCTCTCTCAATGTGTCCTGACTGACATAATGATATAATGATATGCATACATGAATTTTTAATCAAAGGCTATACAATCTCCTGCAGTGCTCGGTAAGTGACACTTAAATTAAACGTGAACAGTATGCATAAAGCGTTGCCCTTACACCTTATTCCCTGTTGGGTTCTTGAGAATTATCTTAGGTAAACATATAATGGCTGTGTGGGAGTTAACAGTGGATAAATTATGGTTTAGTCATTCAGATTTAGATGGGTTTTAGCGCACGAGAGTTGAAGTGTGGTTCAGTTATACCTCACGTGTAAGACCTTACTGAGCGGCACTCTGTGTCTGACTGCTTGCCTTTTATCCTCCTATATTGTTGATTTTGGTTTGGCATCAACACACATCTGCCTTTGTTGACCTCTCAGCTGCATGTAGCATTTTGCACTGCACCCATTTCTTAATTGCATAGACAGAGATGCCCTTTTAATAATTGCACACCAGAAGAACATGTGCAATTCAATAATGCAACAGAAAGAAATTGTGCAAGAATCTGAAACCATTTGTAAAGCAAACACACTTATTCATTCTGTTAACTCTAGTGCATAATGATTGTCGTCCTTTTTATTATTCCCCTCCTTTGTTTTCTCTTTAATTCTTCCCTTTTTTGACCTATCGACATGCCAAGCTGACCTTTAAAAACAACTCTCAGCTTTATGAGAAGTTTGTGACTTTATTTTTTAAAACCTTTACAGTGTAATAAAGTGTAATGTGCATATAAAAATGATGAGACCTCTGTGGCATTTTAACTCACTTTGATCACAAATTCCATCTTTTGTTTTCCCTCTTTAACTTATTCCACATGCTCAGTCCTTACTCTTCTTAACTAGATCAGTATAACCTATGTACCTTGTGGAAACCAAGTTCACCTGTGTGTTTAGGCTCCATACATCCAGGCGTGTCTCTCGTGATAAGTTTAGAGCTGCATCTTTGGACATAAAGGTGTCCTATTGCTCTTCATGCAGAACTGTGCTTTGTGTTTGTTAAGCAGCCCAGAGGAGGGAAACACAGATCAGCTCTATTTCCATCTGGGATCAGATCTGGTGGTAACTAAAAAGGAAAAATATTGAATATTAGACCAATAGCAATAATACACTGAAATACGGTACAGATAATAAAAAGAAAAGTGTGTTGGCTCACTTAAAGGTTGTAAAAAAGGTTTGGTTTGTTCTCTAACCACTGCGTTACTGCTGTGTGTTTGTTGCTTACTGTCGCCATGCCACTTTGTTTTAAGGGTGTGTGAGATTTTCAAAATGTACAATCCTGCCTATTTTAGAAGTAAATTAATTGTCTATAGTTAAGGAAAGTGCTTTTTAAACGAGTCCTTTTCCTCCAAAATCCAGCCTACTTTAACAGTAAAACTGGGGGCCAAGTGCTGTGAGCTTCTGTCTGGAGAAAAAAACAGTAAAAAAGCTCTCAGTTACTGCACTCTGTACTCAAACCACATTTAGCTAACACAGCCCATATGTTTTCTTCTACCCATTAGAATATTCATAACATGCCTTTTTTTAAATTCTCAGACCGCCTGATGTTTTCTCACCCTCGAATGAGCACTCAGAGGCTGGCTGCAGCTGTCCAGAGGACGCCTGGCTCCACAGCGTCATCAGTGAAAGACCTCAGTGAGTACATCCCCCCCCCCCCACCCCCACACAACTCACACCAAGCTGCGGTCAGAGAGCAGGCCTGTAATGGAAAGTCTGGCTGCGCAGGTTTTTAGCACAGGACTCTAGGACAGCTTCTAGCAGGTCATCTCCTTTGAGAGGGTTTCCTCACATCTAGCTGCTTCTTAGAGAATTTATAAATGTGTTTGGATCTAGAACGCCAACTTTTGTCTCGCTCATGCCACTCACATCACAAAAGTATGACACAATTGTCTCATGGACATTGCAATGTGTGAATGTGACCCCACAATATGGGATGTTAGCAGTGAATCACACTGAACTAGTATAATAACAGTCACAGTGTGGCAAATTCAACTCAATTTGAGATGTACTTCAGCTAATTTTTCTTTCAGCATTTGTTAAAGAGAACACTCCTAAATATCAATGATATATTTTGGGTTGAACTCTACGGTGGCCCTGAAGTGCAAGTCAACACAGCATTTCAGGAAACACCACAGCATTTCAGGAAACGCCGCAGCATTTCACAATACACTACAGCATTTCAGAAAACACTACAGCATTTCAGAAAACACTACAGCATTTCACAAAACACTACAGCATTTCACAAAACACTACAGCATTTTAGAAAACACTACAGCATTTCAGAAAACACCACAGCATTTCAGAAAACACCACAGCATTTCACAAAACAACACAGCATTTCAACTTATACGGAAAGGGTATTCCTTTAGGGAGAACACTTCTTGTTTGTGATTGGACAGAGCCAGCACAACATGTCCCGCAACATCAGCCCTGTTAGCACACAGAGCTCACAGCTCCTCATATCTGTTCAGAAACTGGACAAAAGTTAAATATTAACAAACCACAGACAGACTGTCTATGTCATGGTGAATACAGTCGCTGCTTTATTTATGTCTGTATCATGTTGTTTGGACGGAGCAGCTACAGGTTGGTTTATCCTGATCGATCCGATCTCCATTCAGAAAACATGCATTTTAAAAGGTTTTTCGCCTGCCGTCTTGTCTGCAGACTTGTCACAGCATTAATTCATAGTTTTTACTAACTGGTATCAGTAAGCTATGGGTCCTTCTCAGGTCGACTATTTTCATTTCCTCGGTCCTCGGTCCTCGGTATCACCGGAAGTTGATTTGTCTGCGCCATCTTGAGTAGCGTCCCATGGCTCTTATTTCTGCCGGAGGACCGAGGAGCGAGGAGCGATAATGGAGGAGCGATAACCGAGGAACCACCAGACCATCCTCCGGTGAAATCCTCAGATACTCTCCCCGCCCCCTTACTGTGTATCGCTCACTGATTGGACGATGCAGCGCATGCACTGATCTGTTGATTCTTGACATGAGAGCAGTTTCCCAGCGGAGTGAAGAAAACACATGAAACTCACGGGACTCACTCCTCAGTTTATACTGTGTTTTGTTTCAATGAATGCATCATTCAGTTACAAATATGTGATATATCTGAACAACAAAGTGGTCAAAAATTATTTTATTCATTTATTGGAAACATTTTCATGATCGCTTTTTCGTTTTACATTTTCATTTACTGTCATTTCCATTCAGTCAGTCATTAAGTGCTATTTAAAATGTTAATTTGCTACATATCCACACAAACAAACTAAGTGTGCAATCCAATGAATGTTAATCTAACTGGGTTTTGATAGATAACATATCTCTTTTTCTTCTCTGAATTATTTTATTTCTATTGTGCACTCTAATCAATATTAATCCAACTATTGTTGGTTTTACATTTTAAGAATGGCGTTTATCTTTTTTGAGAATGAGTTCTTATTTTATTTAATGTATTTGGGTCTACAACAGATGATACAAATGTTTGTGTCAGTAAATGTGTACTAACAGAGGCGGGGGTGTTTGTGAAAATAACGGGGACAGAGCTGCTGTCAGACGAACAGCTGTGCGGCGTCATCACAAACGGACGTCGCTTCACGTGACGCTCCGGAGGAAAGGACGTCCCATTGCTCTTAAAACTCATTTCCCTGCTTCTCGTGGTTTCCTTGCGTCTCTCCATGCTTCCCTGGTGGGAGGGACTAAACGCAGGGAAACGACGCAAGTGAGGGACGCAAGGATTCCATTTAATCGACCTGAGAAGGACCCTCCGTTGTTACTTCGGCATCATTTTGAAACGTGTATTACAATTAAATCACGGTAAAATATCTTCATTTTGTTGTAGTCCACCATAGTATTTACATGGATATAAGCCCCAAATATTCGCATCGCTCTAATCGCTCGAGTTTCAGGTTTCACCGCGGCTGTCAGCTGTGTTTACTCCTGTCATTCAAACAAGACGCGCTGGAGAGGGGGCGGGGCTTATAGAGAGACAGCAGCTGCGGGACAGTAGCCTAGAAGTGATCCTTCGTTAGCGTGAAGAGTCTGCTAAGCTTTATGTGCTCCGCAGTACCTGAGCATGCTCCACTAGCAATTTTGGCCCTTGGACAAATGTAGTTGGTGATCCCTGCGTAGTGTTTTCTGAAATGCTGTGGTGTTTCCTGAAATGCTGTGGTGTTTTCTGAAATGCTGTGGTGTTTTCTGAAATGCTGTGGTGTTTCCTGAAATGCTGTTTTGACTTGCACTTCAGGGCCACCATAGAAACTCAATACAAGTGTCTTAATTTACCTAAGAGTGAAACTGGTGCCCCCTGCTGACAGTTGTGTGTAAAATAAGCTTTACTGTTAAACTGAAGGTTGTGGCAACTTCATCACTGCAGTAGACAGATTTGTGTCTCTAGTTGTCTTTATTGAAATATCTGTATCGAGTGAGATGTCTTACATGGATCCCAGATGTATCTACAACTATAACTCACTGGACCAATGTACTTTCTGTGTAATGTTTATCTAATTATTGAGTCAGGATGTGACATGCACCAAACAATATGTATATTTGCTTGGAAGGAGTGTGGGTTAGGTTTAAAGGGAAGTAGTGTTTTCAGGCTTTGTGAAAATATGACTGTTTTGTTCATATTGCACATTGTATGATCGGCAGATAAGTGGGTCTTGTTGCAGGAGTATAGCTTAGGAAGTTCCTTCTGATATTTTGATACTTTTCTGCAGTTGAAATTATTGTTGTTCCTTTACAACTTTGTCAATCACCTCCTTCCATCTAAGGCTTCCCCTAATAACTGACTCTCAGTGCTTGATTTAATTTACCCTCCATGAGTCTGCTCTGATGCAACAGCAGCCTCCATGACACTGAGACACACTGCTGCTGAGAGCTGAAATATTAAACATCCATCCACACCTCTGACAGAGAGAGAAACAGGGAGAGAGAGTTGAGGACTTGAACTCCTTTCTCTCCCACATCTCTTCCCCTGTTCTGCAACTCACACTCACACATGCCAGTCTGTTGCTAAGCAACTGTAAAATAAAGCGGTCGGCTCTGAAGTCAGAGAGAGAGAGAGAGAGACAGTACCGCAATCCACTACTGTTTGTTTGGCTCTGTGCATGATCCCACCTCAGCTCTGTACCATCTGTGGATCTGCGAGGACTTCTGGTTCTCCGTCATCCGACCAATCAGCGGCCGGCTGTAGGGGGTGGGGGTAGTGTAGTGTAGGCGGGCCCAGCGGTTCCCTAGGTTACCTGTTTGATTGACGTTCAGCCTCCTGCAGCGGAGCGCACGGCAGTGTATCACCGATGCTCCTGTTTCCGCCCTCGGAGACTGTGGAGAGATCTGGAGGAGACAGAGAGAAAAACACCAGAGCACGAGGAATGCTAATTATTTAAAGTCCTTCGCTCTCTTCACCGGAAAGATGAAAGCTGGAGCGCTGGAGCAAGCCGGCTGAAGGGAGAGGAACAGATTCCTGAAGAAGGGGGGATTTGTTGGTAAGAGAAGCCCCTCATCACTTTTCTCTGTCTTGTCTTTAACAGTCACCTGTGTTGGGAATTATGGGATAAAAGGTACATTTGTTATTTTACATCAGATGAAAATATGTGTGGGTTGTACAGAAAAGGTTTTCTGCATGCTGCGTGGCTGTAGAGGAGGTTACTGTATATGCCTGTTTTACAGTATGCAAAGGCTTTAGCTGAGTCAAGAGCTGCTGGTCTATATGGAATTATAGGAGCCTCAGTGATTAAAATGACACCCTACATAAGGGCTTTGTCAGTCATTTCGTGGCTAAAGTTACAGCTGAGGCAAGGATTTCTGGGCTTGCCTACTGTATCTGCATAGGAGGGGGAGTATTAATTACATAATGCTCCATCTCTACTCCAGTATCAGGGCTGTGCAGCATCATGCTGTCACTAGTTCAGAAAAGCTTCATTGCCTTGGACATTTGGAAACTCTGTGTCTTCTACTGTAACCTATAGACGTAGAGGCTGTTCTTAGTGTGGAGGAATCCATCAATCTGCATGTGTATGTCACTGAATGTCACAGGATTTACAGCAATGTATTAGTGTGACAGATGTCAGAGCTAACAAGTGGGCAGCTGAACAACTCTTCTTGTGTGTTACAATCTAAAGGATTATAAAATGAGACAAGACACATGTTGTGTGTTGGATTGAAATCGCCCTCAGGATTTATCTGTGCACATCAGGTGACTTGGCTTTCTGCTCGGCCGCTCTCATGCAGAGAGTCTTCTGGCCGACCACCTGAGATTGCCTCGAACACTTTTAGGATGTTTTAAATCAGGTGTGAAAAGTTGTATCTGCTGGAAGTCTTTTGTTTTGTTATAATGCTGGGATTTGGGATTTAGGGGTTGAACTAGGGATAAAATCTGACCCGATATCTAAAAATGTCATTCAGGGACAAAGAGATTTTGACAGCTGAGGTACCCTGTAAGGGAACACATTGTATTATTTGACCTTTGAATGGAGACCATCCTTTGGTTATATATAGTTACAGATGCAAAATGACAGATTGTGGTTTTGTGCTTTTGTGAAGGCATAACAAAAAAAAATACATTTTTGGGTTATTATCGCACCTCTCGGTTGTCGGTTGGTATATTGTAGATACTGTACACTCACACATACATCT